CAATTCATATGGAACCCATTTTCCCATCTTCTGGATCTTTTCCATGGATTTCAAACGTATGGAGACGGCTTCTCGTGTTACATTCAATTGGTCCGCGAGTTGTTGAGTTTGAGCGTCATTCTCATCCAACAATGCTTGCAATTCACTGTCTTCAAACTTTTTCGGTGGTTTTTCCACGTTCTTCGTTTCTCACGTCAAAATCGCCACTTTTGAATTTTTTAAACCACTCAAAGCACTGTGATTTACCAAGAGCATGCTCACCGTAAGTTTCGACAAGCATTCGATGCGATTCTGCAGAAGTTTTCTTCAAATGGTAACAGAAAATCAATGCTGTCCGCAAATTGTAGTTTCCAGGCATAAAATTCGACATGTTGAACGCTATTACAAACTATACTGTTGTATGAAACTTGTATTGTTGTGAGTTGAAAATCTTTGTCAGATGTCAGAACAAGGAAATGGCGTCAATGACGCGGTCTGACGGCAACTACATTGACAGCTATGGCCATCTATTGGTAAATTCCGGTTTCATATTTACATACCTGATAACAACTGCTTCTATAGATAACCATCTTGTGTTGGAAATTTGTAATATTTGTAAGGGGCGTACACCACAGTTGATCGTCTCATAAAGCTGAATGCATTTTATTTGACGCGTAGCGGATTTTGAAAACCAATTATAAGTCTCGTGAATTAAAAAGTCGAGATTTCGCAGGAGAGTATCGGTCATGCATGTGACACGGCAAGTTGTAACAAGTGGCAGAGACATCTAATCAAAATCAACGATGGAACTTCTGCTTTTAGTTTTGCATAAATACCGTTATTTATCCCGACCATAACTGAAGCATTGTCTGTTCCAATAACTATCAAATTTTGTAAATCTAATTACATCTCCTCGAGAGTTTTCTTTAGACAATACTATCGGCATTACATGTTTCCAGCTTGGTCAGTGCTAAAAAACTTGAGATTGTTTTTCCATGTTTGTTACTGTAGTATATTATAACGATACCCAACAGTTTATTCACGGACACATTCGATTCGCCCAATAAAAGACTATATTTACCATTTCCAACATCACTGAGCAAGTCGTTGAAGAAGTGAGGACCTAGTACATTTTTTATAATCTCACTGCTTTTTGTTCGATGCAATTGATATATTTTGAGCAACTTGGCTACCCTTGAAAATGTTATTGCAAATGATCACATGAAACGATTGCTGTATGCGCACAAATAAAAAGTACCATCGATCCTTCGATAGCTGACGAAGTCAGGTGCTGTTCACAAAAAGATAATTTTTGTTGCCTTTGTGAAGAGAATGGTTTTGCAGCTTCTGTATGTTTATTTGTTTTGCTATGAACGATTAGATCCGCATATCTTGCTGTTAACTCGAATTTCCAAAACTTGCAGTAGACCTTCGTCGAATATCGTGGCCCGGAACCTGTTTTGTGATAAAATTTTGAAACAAAGCTGTGTACAAAGGGGTGTAACATGTAGCATGTAACGTGTAAGAATATTTTCTCCATGGAAGACTTTGTAAAATTACGTAAACATGAAAAGAATGTATATATACTTGAACAATCCAATCTTTTAAGTGTACGTCTGTGAGCCAGACAGTTCTGAATTTTTGAATGAGTTTTTTTAATTTCTGCCCATTTCGAGAGAAATGTAGTAGTATTAGGAAGGTTAAATGGAGGAAGTAATACTGGGATCAAATAAAAATTTGGTAAAGTTAGTTTAAGGCAGAATCGAAACGCAGTGTATACGCGGGGCGGGATCCGATAGCATACATCATTAATTGGCCAATTTAAAATAAAATATTCTCATTGGTAAAGCAGTGAAAAATTACTAGGCACCGGCCAATTTGAGTGCATGTGTGTTATCGCACTGTACGCTAACGGGACCCTCGTATATTTTTTTTCTTCGGAGTGTCCCTCGGATTGAAGAAAAATGAACGTCTTCAGCCCTAACCTTTGGACTATATGACGCAAAGAAAATCCAATTCACAACAATAAAACAATAAACTACCACAAAACGAACATAATCCTATCTTCTCTATAAAACTGCAAATTTAAACAATTCTATTTGTTTTCTTGATAAAATTAAAAATAATTCTTAACGTTGACAAATTCTCAGATTTAATAAGCTCAAAAACATCAACGTGATGAAAAACTCTTCTTAACCTCAATTCCTGATCGAACCTAAATCTCAGTTCGTCATATCTACTATTAGGTATACAATTTTGCTTCCGCCGTTTTTCCGAAATTCGAGGCTTTATTGTAAAAAACTGGTTATACATTTATGATTCAAAGTATTGTCCATCGCTGGCCATTACTTTCTCCCATCTTTCGGACAGCGTACGAATCCCGCGTCGAAAAAACTGGTCATGTTTTGAGGCGATCCACGAATCGATTCAATTTTTTACTTCTTCATAAGACCGGAAGTGCTGGTCAGCTAGGCCGTGTGCCATTAATCGAAACAAGTGATAGTCAGAGGGAGCAACGTCTGGCGGGTGGAGTAGGACTTCTCATTTCAACGTTTCCAAGTATGTCTTGACCACTTTTGTAACATGGGGTCGAACATTGTCATGCTGCAAAATCACTTTATCGTGTCTCTTGTTGTATTGCGGCCGTTTGTTTTTCAATGTTCGGCTCAAACGCATCAATTGCGTTCGATACCGATCGCCTGTGATTGTTTCAGTCGATTTTAACAGCTCATAATACATTACGCCGAGCTGGTCCCACCAAATACAGAGCATGACCTTGGAGCCGTGAATATTCGATTTGGCTATCGACGTGAAAGCATGGCCGGGAACTCCCCATGATTTTCTGCGCTTGGGGTTATCGTAATGAACCCATTTTTCGTCCCCAGTCACAATGCGATGCAAAAATCCCTTCCGTCTTTGCCTTTCGAGCAGCTGTTCACAAGCAAACAAACGCCGTTCAACATCTCTCGGCTTCAACTCGTACGGCATCCAATTTCCTTGCTTCTGAATCATTCCCATGGGTTTGAGGCGTTTTGAAATGGCTTATCGAGTCACTCCCAATAATCGTGCCAATTCTTCTTGATTTTGACACGAGTCTTGATCAAATAATGCCTCCAATTCTGCATCTTCGAAAACCTTCTCTCTTCCACCACTATGCCGGTCTTCGACGTCAAAATCACCGTTCTTGATGTCGACATCACTCACGACACGTTGTTTCACTAATAGCGGCCTCACCATAAGTATTTGAGAGCATTCGATGAGCCTCAGCCGCAGATTTCTTCATATTGAAGCAGAAAATTAAAACCTCCCGCAAATGACGAGAATTTGGCTCGTAAACTGACGTTTTCAATCGAGAATAACTTTATGATGCACAAATCGACTAATGTTTCTATGGGGTTATGTTGACAGATACCCAAGTTTATTGTAGTGTGACGTCTATGATCTATTTATTTCGACCACTACTTACCGTTAAAGCCATCTATAGGAAAACGGCGGAAGCAAAGTTGTACATCTAATACATTGCCAAGTAAAGTGATCCAAGCTCTCTCTTTCGTAACCATATTCATATCGTTCATTATCAACATAATTCTTCCTGGCCAAAGAAACCCTAAATTATAATGATTAGATCTAATCCTATTTACAAAAGACATGGACATGGACCCGATTGAACACGGATCCGATCGGACACAGACCTGATTGCGCACAACACGATCGGACACAGACCCGATTGCGCACGGACCTGTTTGCACACCGACCCGATTGCGCATCGACCCAATTGCGCACGGATCCGATTGCGCACAACCCGATTGCCCACGGATCCGTTTGCACACGAACAGTGGGGTGTCAGCGTAGACAGTGTCGGCTTGGAATATTTTTCCAAAAAAATCTAACCCTAACCAAAACATTTGTTGGTGTAAGGTAGCCCTTATTTCGCGTGGAAGGCTTGTGGCTGTAGGCAATAATGTATGTAGGCAATAACACATGTCGGCTCCGTGTCCAAACGGGTCGGTGGGCAATCGGATCGATGTGCAAACGGGTCCGTGCGAATCGGGTCGGTGTCCAAACGGGTCCGTGTGCAATCGGGTCGGTGTGCAAATGGGTCCGTATGCAATCGAACCTGTGCGCAATCGGGTCCTTGCCGATCAGGTCTGCGCGCAATCGGGTCGGTGTGCAAACGGGTCCGTGTGCAATCGGGTCATGCACAATCGAGTCTGTGTGCAAACAGATCCGTGCGCAATTGGGTCCGTGTGCAATCAGGTTGTGCGCAATCGGGTCAGTGTGCAAACGGGTCCGTATGCAATCGGGTCGTGCGCAATCGTGTCGTGCGCAATCGGGTCCTTCTCCGATCAGGTCTGCGCGCAATCGGGTCGGTGTGCAAACAGGTCCGTGTGCAATCGGGTCATGCGCAATCGGATCTGTGTGCAAACAGATCCGTGCGCAATTGGGTCCGTGTGCAATCAGGTTGTGCGCAATCGGGTCAGTGTGCAAACGGGTCCGTATGCAATCGGGTCGTGCGCAATCGGGTCCGTGCGCAATCGGATCAGTGTGCAAACGGGTCCGTATGCAATCGGGTCGTGCGCAATCGGGTCCGTGCGCAATCGGATCAGTGTGCAAACGGGTCCGTATGCAATCGGGTCGTGCGCAATCGGGTCCGTGCGCAATCGGATCAGTGTGCAAACGGGTCCGTATGCAATCGAGTCGTGTCCAACCAGATCTGTGTCCGATCGAGTCCGTGTTCGATCGGGTCGGTGTCCGATCGGGTTCGTATCCGATCGGGTCCGTGTCCGATCGGGAAATCCTTTCGTGTCCGATTGTTAATGTGCGCAATCGGGACGCTCCCCCGGACAACCCATAGCCACAAGCCTATCAACCATAGTAGAATAACTTTTTCGATACTCGATGACAAAAAAATCGGACGCACCTTCTCTTTACCTGGTTTATCAATAAAAATCACCTGGTATCTACTCCACTCATGTGGCAATTCTCAAGTCCTCCAGACAACATTGAAAATATCTAACAGATACCTCAAAGCCTTGAGGTAAGGTCTTGATCATTCTATATTCAATACCGTCTCTACCAGGAGCCGTATTTCGCTACACTATGTCCAATGCTCTCTCCAGTTCCTCAAAGCAAAATAAAGAGTACATCGGAGACTCTGCATCCCCAGACAGCAGCAACTCCAAATCAGTTAACACTCCATTGAGAGAAAGTTAAAAATTTCCTGCAAGATCTCTCTATTTTTAGTCTGCCATTTATTCCACTCAATACTCTTTCTAACATTTTTAAAAACTTTCGTTTTATTCCAAACATACCGCACATCAGAAAATCTATTAATACTCTTACAGAACCCTTCAAAATTTATCTTCTTATATTTAATTGTTTTTTTGGCCACCGCTCTACATCGCTTATATTCAATCCATTTATTTAAGCATCTGTCTCCTTTAAAAGCACTCAAAGCCATCTTCCTATCCTTAACAACCTTATCACAATCTTTATCCCACCAGCTGTTAGGATTACCAGATTTCTCTCGTACAATCCGCTTTCCACAATTCAATTGATCTGGACGACGACCCGACGCCACATGAGCAGCATCAGTTAACACATTAGTAAAACCAGAATAATGTGCAGACAAAACATCACCACCTGTCATTAGATCATGGGGTTCAGCAGCAAATTTCTCAAATTCCGATCTAACCAACTCAGCATATTTGATCCAATCTGTCTTCTTAGTAGTCATTCTGTTAGTGCGCTTACTATATATCCTTTGTTGAGTCTCAAACGCAAAGGCAATTGAGAAATGGTCACTATCCCACGAATCATCCAATTGGTCATATTCTATAGTATCCAAAACAGCAGCAGAGCAGAATAAAAGATCCAAATTTGAGTCTCTCTCTTCAATAGCTCCAATACGATAACATGTATCCACGTTGACACAAATAAAATCTCTGCGTTCCATAGCCTCTTGTAGAGAATCCCCAATAGTATCCGTAAATCCACAATTCCACATAGTATTATGAGCATTATAATCCTCCCAAAAAATAGACTCACAATCACCTGGATCAAAATCAAAAAGAGATCTGAAGTCACTGACCCTGAGTGAGCCTCCTGGTCGACGATACACGGATACAATGTTAAAATTAATACTCAGATTAATGGTTCTAATTTTAAGAACATCAAAACCACTATCCAGGTCACGGAAACCGGATATTATGTTAAACTCAATGTCCTTCCGAACAGCAATTGCAAGGCCTCCACTAAGGCCTCGACTCGGCATCTGGTACGTTCTATATCCTGCAATATAGACTCCATTATTATGCGGGCATTTAGTTTCCACGAGTATAATATCATATCCGCTAATGTTTCTCGAAAGCTCCTGTTTCTTATTTCTATATCCACGGCAATTCCACATAAGGATCTTAATTAATAAATAAACAAAAAAAGAGAGATATATATAATACTCAGTACGTTAATTTCTACAATAGCTCCTCTTTACATTATGTAAAGCAGATCTCTCTTGATGTAACTTACTCTACTCATTGCTAGTTATAGCTTCTTTCTCAGAAAAACTACCCAGATGTCGTCCCGATCGGTTTCCATCTTCTTCCTTATCCAGCATTCCCATTCTGGCACTGGTCTCCAAGACCAACATAACCTTTTCAACAATACGCTCAATAAAAGATTCTTCTGCATATGCATTCTTACTATATCTATTATCACCATACTCATTACATACTACAACTTGCTTCTCCAACACGGGGCATTATTACGTAAGGCTATATCTTTCCTCTTTATATTAATATCCCAAGAGCAGTCGTTAAATTGCGAATAATATCTATTAATGTCACAACCATTATCTTTGTTTTTTCTATTAGACATTCTATATCTGTTGTCCGATCGAACAACTGATTTAACAATAGGCCGAACATTACCAACATAACCTCTACTAATATGCTCTGTATTTACATAGTTCCTACTCATTTCGCCTCTCAAATTTCTTACTGACAACTCCACGACTTGGAATAGATGGCCACCTCTCAGGTCTTTCATACCTATCATAAACTGGTTCAGTCACAGCGTCTTCGCGTCCTTTTAGAATAGAACCTCGCTTTACGAAAGGAAATATTGCGATAATGATATTAATATTTCTATTTTTTTCCAACACCGGACAATGCCTAAACGTTAATCGATGTGCCCCACCACAATTTCGACAGTAGATCTCGGCTTCATATACACCATGGCCTCTCTTCCACAGTTAATACACACAGAGTTACTTTTATAAAATTGTTTTATGTGACCTAACGTATAGCAATTAAATTTGCCTCACTGACTGGATATAAGGCCTCACTCTTAGCTTAACTCTACTACCAAATATACAAAGCTCTCGATGTAAATTCTCCCCTTTCATAGTTATCACAATATTATCGGTCTTTACACTAACCGACTTCTTGGATGCTTTATCCCATTTTCTTCTACGAGGGGCACTACTTCTATTTTGAGCCTTGGCAATACTGAGTGTTGTCAGGTGCTATCGGACGTTTCCACTAGAAAGTTTGACATTTTTTACCATAACTTTCTTCAGGACGTTTTGTTATTTGAACGCGATTTGTATTGTTTACAGTCACTTGAAAATTGTGTCTCAGCGAAAAAATGGAATTAACTCGTGAAAATTTTCGTGCAATGATTTATTACGACTTTCGACGTGGATTATCAAGACAGAAGTGCATCGATCAACTTACTTCTACTTTTGGTGATAAAGCCCCATCCTTTGCCACTGTGAAACGCTGGTATAACGAATTTAATCGTGGTCGCCGTTCGCTCACCGACGAAAGTCGTGAAGGTCGTCCAAAATCAGTTGTTGTGTCAGAAAACATTGATGCTGTGCAAAAACTAATAATGCAAGATCGTCATGTGA